TTAACATAAATGCCCAGCAAAAAACGCAGTTGTCGCTGACAGAGCAGACACAAATATATCATAGCCTACCACTGTCTCTACAAGTTGAGGCTGCACGGCATATTTCCCGAGACTCTTTATTGTGTGTCGAAATTTTCACGAAGACCAGTGAGTATTTCCTGGACTCTGTTTCTACGCTTTTAGACATGGAACTCTTTGGGGTAGGCGACTATGTGTACAAGGCGGACGACATCTGCCGCTCGCTGTACATCGTTGCTTCAGGTAGCGTGGAAGTAGGAAAGATGAATTCAGAGACTAACGAGTTCGAAGTCGACGAGATCGCTGGGGTCGGCTATGCGCTTGGACAGCTAGAGTTTCTCTTCGATGTGCGATACATGACCTCAGCAAGAGTGTCGGGCGCGGACGATGTGCGGGTTTTTAGGTTGGGTAAGGAGGACTTCACACGTGTCATCAAATTGTATCCCATGGATGAGGACATTTTGTACGAAAATCTCTCACGCTTGGCGGACGATAAGATGGAAACCAGTTCGAGGGCACCAAGCACAGCCCAGAGCATGTCCACGCACTCGCTAGACTTCACAGTCGTAGGCGGTGATGACCTCATGGAAAAGGCTATGGATAGCATTGACAAAGCTAAAAAGCGGAGCAAGGAGCAGCGTATCCGCTCTTTTTGCAATGCGGCCGCCGAAGGGAACATGGACATCCTGCAGCGCCTCCTCCGGAGTGGTATCGATATAAATGGACGAGATTGTAACGAGCGTACTGCACTAATGCTGGCGACCTGTGCAGACAATTTCGAGCTTGTCAAATGGTTAGTCTCTTTGGGAGCAGAAGTGAATTTGCGAGACAAGTTTGGGGGCTCCGCTTTACTGGATGCCATGCGTCATAGTACACCCTTGCATATGGAGATTATGGGCTTTTTAAGCAAACAAGGCGCCGTCTTAGAACTGGACGATGCAGCGGGAGAGCTTTGTCAGGCAGCAGCAGACGGAGAGAAAGAAAAACTGGCTCGGATGCTTGAATTGAATACATCACCAGATGTAGCTGATTACGATAAACGTACTCCCCTACATCTGGCTGCTTCAGAAGGTCGCCTAGATTGTGTGAAACTCCTGCTGGAGTATTGGGCAGACGTAAACCCTATTGACCGAATGGGTGGGACTCCCTTGTCGGATGCGGTACGGCATGGGCACCTTCACATTCAGACACTTCTACGCCAGCATGGTGGTAAGCTCAATATGGACCCGTTCGAGCTTGGGACGTGCGCGTGTGAGGCAGGGTCCTCGGGCGACCTGGACAGCATCCGTGTGCTGGTTGAGAATGGTGCCGACATCAACACAGGAGACTACGACGGTCGCACGGCGTTGCACATGGCTACTTGTTATAATCGGTTGAGCGTCATCGAATATTTGGTCTCGTTGCCGTCGATCAACCTCAATCCACTGGATCGTCTCGTAAATACGCCTCTTGACGACGCGGAAAGGGAGGGCCAAGGTGCTATTGTTAAAATTCTTCAAGCCCGTGGGGGCGTTCCAGGCACTCATCCATCGTTGAAAGACCAAGTTGCTCAACAAAGACAGAAAAAAGCTGAAGCTGAGGCCGTCAAAAAAATGCGTCGTGAGGCGGACGCACGCTTATTTGAGGAGTGGAGCCTCGTGCAAGAGGACCTGTCGCGAGTCTACAGCTTTATGAGTGAGTACTTGCCATCACTCTGTAAAAACATCAACATTTTAAGCATGACCCTGCGGAGTCGACGAACACAAAGTACGATTGATCGTTCCCCCCGGCCCGATCTTGCGGAAACCCGGCTCTATTTTTACAAGTCTTTCCTAGCCTTCTTAGAGCGGCGTTACAAAGTCAATCTGGAGATGTCCTTGACGCTCATCGAAGAACTAGAGGAAGTAACTTCTTTTGAAGACAAGGCGCGAATCGCAGGGTACATCGTGGAACGCTTTCTTGACGCGAAATCTTCAGATCGTGTGCACTTTCATCCCACACAGGTCGGGCTGGTGAAGGAGCGCCTACTCGCTGCATTTCCGGAGAAAGTCTTTCCTGTCGATTTACTCGAGCCTTTTCGAGCAAGTGTTGTTGAAAAGATGGAGGAATTACTGCCAGACTATTTTAAATCAGATTTTTATTACCGTGCTTGTCGGCAGCCTAATGGCTTCCTGTGGAGAGTGATGAAACTCTCTCGTTTGCTACATGGGCTGTGTAATCAGATACTTGTCGATGTCATTAATCCTTTTCTAAAGCTATGCAATCGAGATGCACTTGCATGCGTGCCACACTATTCAAAAAGCAATAGGCAGGCTTTTCGAGAGGAATTTGTAAAGCTAAAAAATAACATTACGTCGCTGCAACCAGTCTTGCACATTGTCGGGTACAAGTCCAAGCATGACGCAATGCAAGAATGTATCAAGGAGCGCCGAGAGAAGCGCACAGGAAATGGAGGTACCGGACATAGGAAGTAGAATGCGAAGTTTGACTCAGGAAGCGGAGTAAAAATTGTGAGCTCCAGCTGCCGTGAAGCTGTCCAGGTTGTTCCAGGACAAGGGAAACTTTAAAGATGAATGATCTGGGTGCACGACCTCTGGGTGCACGACCTTCCGTGAACTCACGGCTCATTGAAGACGGGGGTAAAAAATGATCGGACCTGAAACAGGCAGTGTAAAGCTATGCCATTGCGATAGATGGGAAAAGGAAAGAGCGCAGTAACTCTGTTCCGAGAATGTTGTGCAGCAAATTTCCATCGCCTCGAGACGATCTTGAGAAATTCATAACGTGCGATGGTCGTCGAGATCAGAAAGTGGCTTCATTTTATTCGTGATTCTACAATGTTATCCAGGTGGTTCCATTCATGTGACATAAGATTCTCTAAGAATAAGCTAGATTCATATGAAAGAAACATGTCGCACACGGCAGCTGAGTTCTTCCCTTTGTATTGCATTGAGAACAAGAAATATTCTTCAAGGTTCGCCTAAGCAGCCTTGCCAGTTTCGCTGATGTTCAGCCGTCTATATCTCCAGTTCAGGCCCTCCTCATATTGGCGTTCTCTCGTATTAAATCTCATCGTCGGGACCCACACGTCAAACCCGCCTCACTATGGAGGAGTCTTATTTTTCTTACATCTGTCGCATCACAAAGACCAAGGGCTTATCGAAAAGCCTCCTATCATATGAATTTGTGTCACCGATTACCGCCTTCTGCCGTAAAAAGTGCTCAAACCTTGGTTACCATCACCTGATATCACCTTTAGCCCATCATATTCCATTATGCTCTTTTCTTTTCAACCTTATCACCCCCTCTACATCTTGTACTTTTTCGTCTGCTGCGTGAGCGTGCGCTTCTAGCTTTGGTTCGAGGCTGTCACATCGAAAGGCTGCGTACAGAAGCTGACCGCAAATTGTGTGGCCTTGATGGAGTATGTCTGTGGAGCTAGGTCAGCAGGCACCTCAAAGGGAACCGTAAGAGAACCCTTGCCCTTAGGGACGATTTGGCCGATTGGGATGTCATCACTTGAGCCCAAACCGCATTTCTTTGTCAGCGTCAGGCCTACGGGCGCCGTCGATGAGAATCCAGAAATCATCACTTTGCCCGTCTCTCCCTGACTAAACGTCGGGAGGGCCAGACGCTCGCCGGTTTCCGTCGACACTAGGACAGTGGGCACCATATTGCCCGAGAGCGCTCCGACGACAGAGCTCATCACCGTCGATGAAGCCTGGGGCAGGGCCATTCCTCTCACCTTGTGGGTAGTCACGAAGTCAGCGTTGCTCTCGTCTATCAATACGTCGACAGGCAGCATCTCACCAAGGACCGACGCGAAGTCCGCGGCCTTGAATTGCTTGACCCAATCCGAGGCGAGAGCGGCGCACTCGTCGTCGTGTGTCGTGAAAGAGAGGTCGTAGACCTCTGTGAGCTCTGAGTCCTTGAAAAAAGCCTCTGCATTGGACAAAGCGAACTCCTGCAGCTCGGGATGTCTGATACTATTCTTCTTCTGCACGTTCACTCGCGCACAGTCGTCGCCGAGGGCCTTGGAAATGGCCGATTGCAGGTCAGACGGCTGTGCGCATTGTTCCGGTACTGATTCCGCGCTGCTAGAGCATCCAAGCTTCAGAATCGCTGTTGTCACTTGAGTATCGATTAGAGGCATGTCCGCGCTGCTTTCATCGTACAGATTGCTTGCCTGTTTGATCCACTTGGGGAGCGCCTGGGCGGTTCCATCCGTGCCCAGCACCCGAACATCTTCGAGGGAGCAGGCAGACAGCTCTTCTTCGCTGAGCTCGCAGGCCCCCGCGTTCTCGCCGACGATCTGTTTGTTCATATTGCCCTTGAAGCCGCAGGGGTTGCAGGCAATGGGGCCGTTGACCGCCGCGTAGTGTGTCTGAGGTGTGTTCGTTCCCACAGAGCCTAGGGGCGAGTCCTTCACCGCCTGGACGAAGGCATTCGGGGTGCCTGCCGAGAAGGTGTTCTCGCCTTCTAAGACCGTGAAACTCGAGGCAGGAATGGCGGATGCTTGCGACTCCGCCGAGGCGATCTCGAAATCCTCCAACTCCGCTGCCAGCGGCTGCACCAGATAGTTCTCCTGCACTTCCTCGTCCATGTCCTCCTCCACGTCGTCGTCCTCGACGGCGTTCTCATCGGACTCTTGATCCTGCCGTCGGCCTTTTCTGATATTGTCTGGGAAAGCATGAAAGGCGCATGGGAGTGAGAACTAATTTATTTCTGGCAATATTGACAATGACATACAGAAAGAGTCATCTCATACTTACAAGAATAGAAATCGTCGTCGTCCATTACGTGGTTTTCAACAGGAATGACGTCGTCATAATCTTTGCCATTTTTAAGATCAATGACATCTTCACCCTCATCCTCTTCGAAAGTTCCGTCCTCATCGTCTTCTTTCTCTGCCTCATCCTCGTCCTCGAGGTCGTCCTCGTCATCGACATCATCCGCCGTGCCTTCATCCTCCCCCAAGTCTTCTGTGAACTCCTCATCCCCGGCATTGATGTCAGCATCGTCAAAATCAAGGTCATCTTCCTCAAAATCATCGTCGTCGTACTCTTCGTCTTCGAAATCATCCTCGGGAACGCCTTC